GGGAAATTTGCTTCAGGTTGCGACCAATTCGGGGTGCGACCAGAGTCGGGAACGAATTAAGTTCGTAAACCGAGGTTCCACTGTACTGCTGTGTGAAATACTTTTAACTGAAAATGAGAGGAACTGAACTGGGACCATGGGTATACAGAGCATTTACTGTTTCATAAACCAGTGCATCTTCAGACATAACATTATTTGGAAAAAGAATGTTTTGTGCTTTAATCTACTTAATTTCATTACAATGTTTCTTACATTAATTCATGACTAATATTTATTATCTCAGTTCTGTATTCCTGGAGGTATAAGAATGAGGTATTAGCATAACTTACATCTTGAACACCCAGTGTTAAATCATTTTTTCAGCAATAATTATCTAACACAGTAATTTGAATTGCCAAAGGTTGATTCTTCAGTTGCCTTGAGATTTTATAAGGTTGAAGAATCATATTTTATACTAAAAAAGTGGATGATATTAATCATTCTAAATAAAGAAAACTGACATAAGAAAACCAAGCACATAGTTGGGTTCTCAGGGGATGCATTGTTTAATTTTCAATTTTGCAGTGCAAAGATTTGAACTGGTCATCTACTTGTGAAGAACACCCTCAGATTTCCATCAAAGGAATCCTCACTCTACACAAACCAGTGCAGTTCAGATGTTTAGCAAAAGAAGCTTCCAATGTAAGTGGCACTTAAAAAAAACAAAACCCACCTTAACATTCTTCCATATGTGAATATGTGAATTAGTAAAAGCAGAGACACAAGGGTGATTATAGATAAAGATTTTTTTTTTCCAGATCTCACATTTAACTGTCGCTTTGTTCTAGGACATTGAGTTCATGGAAACATTTGTATTTCCTATTAAACTGCAACTCCTCCAGACTGCAAGACTTGTGTTCAAAGTACAATCCCTGATTCCCAGGAAAAAAACTATAGGAGAATGTATTTTGCCATTGCGCGACCTCAGTTCACAGGAAGTGGATTATTGGCTGACGATAACACCTCCTTCCAAAGCTTTAGTAAGTTAAAATATTCCAAGGAATCTTGTAGGAGATATGTGGGGCATTATGCAGGAATAGAATTCTAGGATTGGTTCTGGTCAGGTCCTTTTGTTAATATTCACTGATTATTCCCCACTTGTCTTAGGAGCTCCCAATGCTTGGGGGGGCGGGGAGGCAGGGAGAAGAAGGTCCCTTACTTGTAGAACAGCTAACTCTTCCACACTCACTTCTCCCACTGCCAAGCGGCAAACTGTTCCTTTTAATGTACAGAGGTAATGTCTGAAAAGCTATAAATTGGGTGCAAAATCTGTGATTCTTTCAATGTTGCTGACCTGCAACTCCCTTCTTCCCCATCACATGTTCTCCACCCAGCTATAAATTCACAATGGCTATATATAATATAGTAAAGTTTTTACTTTGAGGCTGGATCACATAACAGAATTTGACTTGTTTTGAAAAAGATAGCCTTAATAAGACCGTTGCTTTTCTGGTCTGGCCTACTTGAAGGGCTGACATCTCCACAAGAAGTCTAGAACTATACTTTGTTGAGATTGGCTATAATAACAATTTTGCAAGCCTGATTGTGCTGTACTTCCCTTCCTTCTTTTACTCCAGTGAATCAGGAAGGTGTTTGCCTGAGCTATTTCCAAATGCTATCTTGCTTCCTAGACTTAAAGAATTTTTAAAGCCCTCTTTGTGGAGCAATGGTTCTTGTAAATTTCTGTCAAGTTCATCTCCCTTACTCTCTGCATGCAGGACAGATTGGCATTCCTCTGGAATGGATTTGTATTGATTGTGAAAGTATTTTAATTATAGAACTTCATCACTATAGAATTACACACAAGGAAGTTATACTGTAGCTTCGCTTATTAACGTCTGCCAGAACCGGCTCTGAAGAACCAGGAAATGAATTCCATGAGCCAAAGGTCACCCAGATCTCATGAAAACGTGTTTAGAAATGTAAGGCAGTTTTAAAACAGTTTATAATCTGGCAAAAAAGAGGTCCTGCTGTTTTAAAAAATGGAAAGATTCCACAGAAATCCTGCAAATGCTTTCCCAAAAACATACACAGTATAGCTCTTTGGATCCCAATCTTGATACTGGCAAAATTGGAATGGGTAGAACTTATAATTCTATAGTATACAAAAATAGCGTATTGGGTCATTAAAAAAAAAAGCTAGGGCTATTGTTTGATTAAGCTGCTGTTTCTTTGTCAAAATGGGAAGTCTGATAATCTTCACTCCACACCTGTGTAACAAAATATCTTAGCTTTGATTTGTGAAAGTTGGCTCAGATGAAAATGGAACATTTCTTTGCTCTTTGATTCTCTGTGCAGGTGTGTTCTGCAGAACTGAAAATAGGCACCTGTTTTCAAGCAGTAAACAGCCGGATCCAGTTGCAAATTCTGGAAGCTCAGAACCTTCCAAGTTCATCCACACCATTGTCTTCAAGTAAATACTATAATCTTATTGTATATCTTTATAGTTGAGTGATTCTTAATATTGGGCGAACTCCATAAAGGAGAGCAGGTTTAAATACGAAGCAACATATCTCTGTGTGGTTGCTACTGTTGTTTAATAGCTGCATAATGACTTTTAAATAAGGGCATGTCATTTTTTAAATAATATTTTTATTAAAAATTTTCATAGATAAAAGCTAATTAATAGAGAACTAAAAAGATATACAAACAAAGAAAAAGAGAGAAGAAGAAAAAGAAAAGAAAGTCATCTAAAAGTTGACTTCCCCCTCCCTCCAAATAAGTATAAACATTTACAGTAACTTAAGACCTTCTCTATTATTACAAAAAACCCTCTTCTTCCCATTTTTCATCTCTTAATAATAACCAAATTATAAAAAATTCATCAATCTTACACAACAAAAGCAGTAAGAGTACCAATAATAATAACCCATATATTTTAACCTTAAACAAATCCATTATGCATTTTAACTATAAAGTTCTCTAATAAGTGAAACATAAAAGATTTATCCCCATAGGCATAAAAATACCAACAATAGTAACATATACATCTTAGACTGAATCAAATAGGTCCCTTTTTATGTTCAAACATAAAAAATTGTTCTTTCTCTAACAAATAGAACATAGAAAGTTTATCCCCATATGAAAAAATCTTTAAATCCTCATCATACAATCCTGGTCATAATCAAAAATTCCAATAGTAACAACCCAGAATCACAATTTAACCCTGATCAAATAAGTCCATTTTGAATTCTTTTTTTCTTCTTTTTAAGAGGCTTGATCTTCAGTCACTTCTTTAAATAAAGTCCCACATAATAATCTCTTGTCATTTTCTCCCTGTTTTCATACTTCCCTTCTGTGGATCCAAAATAAGA